TTAGAGATAAGCTGATTATAAATCCCAGAGAGAAATCAGTCAAACTGCATGGCACCCATCTGCCTCTAGGAAATTAATTATCCTGTTTTTTGGTGTTTGTTTTTTTTGGGGGGTTATTGGGTTTTTTTTGGGGTTTTTGGTTGTTTTTTTTTTTGTTGTTTCTTTTTAAGGGTTTTAAGTTTCCATCCTAAATGGAGGATGATAAAATAGCAAATCCATCCTGAACACTTTCAGTTTTCAATGTTCAAGATCCCAGATCTTCTGCAGTATGATAAAAAAATTGCTAATCTAGACTGCTCCATTTTTCTACATGGTCTGCAATTAATGTGATTATTTTAGAGAATGAGAAAAGATTTTTCCCATTTTTTTCCCTCCTTCAAGAAAGTGCAATGCAATCTACTAGTGGTGAACTTGACCATGAGCATGACAGTTACCCAATTTAACAAGGGGATTTATATATTCTTTTTATGTGTTAAGAGCACTCTTGCAAAATTGCTTGGCTTGCTTCATGATTACAGCTCTCTTACAATCTCAATTGCTGCTACGCTAACCCCATAATTTTTAAAATATACCAAAGGCAAGATCATTTGTGTATTCCCAGAGTTTATCAACTGTCAAGAAAAAGCTGTTCAGAGACTTAAGCTGCTACTGGCTTGTGGTATGAGGGATTGTGCTTCTTCTGCACCCAGGAGACAAAGAAGATGGTGCAGAAATGTCAGCAGGACCAAGAAGTTATCACAGGCCTGCAGTCCTCATACTAAGGGACCAGTCAGCCACTCCAGGAATGGAGTATCTCTCCCTCTCTTTTTCTATTTGCTCATTTCTTACCTGAAACCTATTTTTCCCAGGTTGTTTCCCCAGCAGCCTCAGCAGTTAGAGCTAAACTGTTTTAGATTGGGTCCCGGTTCAAGTACAAATAATCTTTGTCCATTGCCAGTTGAACCTCTCTTTCTATTAGGCAACTTCTCTCTAATATCAGACAAAGGCTTTTGCACCTCAAGACAAGAGGAGCAGCCCCTCCACTGGAATGGGCTATCAGGTATATCCCCATTCCCCAGTCACAGCTGGTGCTCCCAGCAAGAAGGATACAAATCCAGAGAGAAGACAGAGCAAGGAATTTGGCTGGGGAGAACTGGAATGTGGGATAGCGTTGTGGTACCAAAATGCCATCCAAATCTCAAAAAGGTTTTACCTATGATCTTGATTAAAGGAATTTGCAGGGGGGATCTCTGCCTCAAATATAAAGCGGAATACACCTCTTGTTAGACTAATTCCAGCATCTGGATTCAGAAATTTTATTAAAGAAAGAGAATTACAAGCCTTTTTTATAGCCAAAGGAAAATACACAGAATTTTGACAGGTTTTCTAGCTTACATTTCACTCATGAAGAGGCATATTCTGCATTGACTAAGGCTGGTTTTTATCTTGAAGCAACATAGCAAAACCTGAATATGCTCTCTGGATGTTGAGCACCTCCATGCTCCAAACACAGCAGCCTTGTGGAACAGCAGCATGTGCAATGGCTGGAGTCAAACCAAGGACATCCTCTTGACTTTCATTTGTTGGTGGCCTTAATAATGTCAAGAGCATCTCTAGCTTTTCTAACCTGAAATAACTGCTGTCATGGAATAGTCTCTCATGGCATAGTCTCTCATGGCATTCTCATCTAGTGTAATTATTAGTGCCCATTTCAAAAGAAGCACTTGTCAAAAGAAGTTTGGGAGGTATCTTCCTGTTTATCAGAATGCTTCTGATGTTTGCACAACATATCATTGAGGATTGTTTTTTGTAAATTACCTTGTCCGGGGTTGTTATTAAGACAGGATTTTTGTTTGATGAATGAACAAGGCATGAAACTAAACACTTCTATGTCTAAACAACCTAAAGATGACGAATAAAAGTAGAGAAAATTCAGCTGGAGTGAAATTCAAAGATCCATCATCTATCTGTCTAATCTAAAAACTATTTTTAAGGCCTTCACAGATGGACGTTTTCCTGGCTCAATCAATCTCTCTATCTGTGATATATTTTAAAGCCTTCTTTTTCTTTTTAAATTTTTTTCCTGAATTCTGTACTGTAGTTTTTGATTTTTTTGTCCAGTCCACAGTGGATCTAAAGAAGAGATTAGTCCTTTACTTTTTTACATTAGTCTTTTTGTGTCCTCAAGGCTATGTTCATCTTTTCCTGCAGTCAGCTTTTCCTGGATTTAGTAACTTGATTCATTCAGTGGTTCTGCCTGACTATATCCTTTATGTCAACTCGTTTATGTGTCTCTCTTAAAGCACTGTGCCCAGGAGTGGGCATGGTCCAGTGGAAGGATTAGAGCAGAGGCACATGTGCCTGGTGTTGATCCCAAAGTGGTGATGGCATTGCTCTCATGGTAGGGTAATGCCATGATATTCTGGGGCACTTTGCACGTGTGCTGCATGTGAGGGCTGATGTTTGGAAGGCTGGTCCAGCCAAGTGTGATTACGCTCACTACTCTGCAGTCCTGCACTTCTCCTTGTTGGACAGCAGGTTGCTTTTTTCCCAGCACATGTTTCCAATTCATGAAGATAATTTTGAATTCCAATCCTAGCCTCTGCAAAGGTCTTTATCACAGTGGGCATCCCATTAATAACCATGGAAATTTTCATTCTGCAAGTTAACACAGACTGGGAGAGGCTGCTGTGATTTAAGTTGCCTGTTGTTATGGCTCCTTAATCCTCAGGAATGAGATCTTTTTCCTTTTTGTCAGAATGGCAGCTCCCACAAATAGATTAATAGAAATTTTTGCTTTATTTCTCTGTCTACGGCTCTTCCAGACTTACTTCTATTTTCAGTGTTTGCATTTTTAAGTTTTCTTTGCAGTCAGGTTTGATTTCTGGAGTCTAACATTGCTTAATTGTTAGGCATTGCTTTTAAATTGGCAGAAGGGATTTAATCTGACCATTTGTACTGTGCTCTTATGCTTCTAACACAGCCTCTGATGCTCCGTAGCTGTTTCTTCTGTGGCAATCATAAGAAGGTTTGAGTGTCAGATCCTTCTTCTGTTCCTATCTATATCAGTATAATACGGGAATAAAATTCCTTTTAAGAAAATGCCATTCTGATTTTATACCAAAAAAAATGGGAACAAGTCTAGTCCCTGAATTTTGTTCATGTGAGAAATATGTTTTCTGAAGTGGAAAAACCAAAACAAATCCTGAGGAGAAATCATTGATTTCAAGGACAAAAGTGATGTGAAATCTTATCTTTTATGATTTTATTGTCTTCCTAAAAGACATTTCCTTCCAATTCTTGCACTAAGAAAATCATCCCCATAAAAATAGTTTCCACCATATCTCTGCCACACATTTTTAAGGAAATTTGTCTCCAAGAAATTCAAGAGATTTGCAGATACCCCAAAAAAGATGGATTTTTTTTTTTTAATCTAAAAGCTATGTATCTAGCCCACACAGGTTGTCTCATCGAGGTCACTCTATATTCAGTGGAGACAACCCATCCCAAGGTAGGTGAGATGAGTGGTGACTCATCTCTGAGACACTGCTATTACCTAGACAATACTAAGGCAATTTAGAATAGTTGTGTCTCTTTAGAACTTTTAAGTTAGGTGAGATGACATGAATGGTAGATTATGTTGGTGAAAATCACCATGCTGGGAAAAGTGAAATCCTCTCTACACAGCCTTCATTGTTTGGTTAAATTAATCTCTGGGCTCAGGCGCAGAGTGCAACATGAAATTGCTCCTCATCAGGTCTTGCTTTCCCTGCATGACCCTGTGAGCCACAAGGTAATGTGGCTCCTACCTGGAGCAAAGCTGAGGCTGGTTCCCAGGAGAGGCTGCTCAAGCGGGATGATGGGAGGGACAAGGAGGGACAATGACTGCTGGCCAGGAGTGAGGCTAAGTGCCGAGGAGGGACTTAGGCTAATTTTAAATCAGGAAGCTTCATGTCTCTACTCCATTCCTTTCATTTCACCTTCCCTCCCCACGCTCACAGTGAGCTATTTTCTTTGCAAACAGAATAAGCTCTGGTTTCTGCTCTCCCATAGTGGCTTACAGATGCTTTTAATGAGTGTTCTCCCTGGCTTCTGCTCTATCAGCCCAGTCAGGTAGGTGGGGTCTTACTGGCAGCATCCTTCCCCCAGTCTGCTCAGGACAGGTCCTTGAGGTCTGTAGAGTCAGCACCTGGCACCCCTCCTCAGCTGCAGCCCTCACCTGCCTCCTCCATCTTCCTCTGACTCCCACGTTGTGGCTTTGCTGTCTTGAATGGAAAGATCCCAAACAACTGCATTGACAAAACCCGAAACAGTAGCAAGGATGTAAAGATTGGGTGTGCACTCACCAAACAAGCAAACGTGGACACATACGGTGTTGGTCCTGCAGCCAGAGCATCCTGATGCTTTGAGAGCACGAACAGCTTTCTTACCTTGTTTTCTTTGTACACACACCACTAGGGGACGTTTTGTCATCACGTTTCAGTCGCTACACAAGTATACTTTTCTTTAGTGGGTCATGCTTCCTTTTCAGTCTTGGTGCACGTCTAGATCATGGAGTGGATGTCTGAATTTCATAGGGCTCGTGAATGACCCAGACTCACTGAAGTTAGGGAAGAGAGAAGTATTTATTTCCTCCGTTTCTCCAAAGGAGCCCATCTATCAACATTCCTTATGAAGTGAGGCAGCTGGTTATTTCACAGCTTGCTGGAGCAGCACAAGAAAGCTGAGAGCTGACTCTCATTTTAACACTAAGTGAAGAATACAGACACTGCTAGTGGTTTTGTGAAGAGACAAGTAATATACAGCCATGGCAAACCAAACTGGAATGAACATCACTAGCAGTGGTGCATGTTAAGTATTTTCTGAAAAAAAACCCAAGAATGTCATTTAGACTAAATAGTTGAAATCAATTGGCAAAACTCAAATTTCACTCCTGTTTTCTGTTCTCATCTCATTTGTCTGAGGATAAGTGACTGTCCATCCGCCCATCAATATTCTTTTTTCCCTTCTTTCTATTGCAGACAGAGCAGCTGGTGACTCTTTGGATTCTCTTTATTGTCACAATTGCTGGAAATGCCATCGTGCTCTTCTCTACCTGGAGGAGGAAGCGGAAATCTCGAATGACCTACTTTGTTACTCAGCTGGCAATCACAGGTAGTGTATGGGAGGGGAAAGGGCACCTGACCTGCACAGGAATCACTATTAAAATGACAAATAAGAAAATGTGAGTTGAGTGGTTAAGAATTCAGTTGCCACCTAATGTCCATCCAGTTGCAGTTTGCCATAAAGCAAAAGGATGGCTGCTTATCTTAGGGCTCAGTCTGACTCTGATCTAAAAAGATGTTGCTAGATGTAGTAGTATGCAGCAGCTGCAACTCATTGATGTCACTAAACCTTATCTTCCAGTCTGAGTTTGCATCTGCATTTCCCAGCAGCTATGTCTCCAGCTGTTGTCATGGAACTGCTTAAATTAAACTAGTTTAAGATGAATCTCTTGTGTTTTTCTACTAAAACTACTCCATCAATTATGCTCCTGCAGTGAAGAGTGAAAATAACTTCATGTTGTCCAGTTTAATGAAGGGAAATATAACAATATAAAGGTGAAGAGAAATGCATTTAGGTTTTTTTTTAATGAACAAAAGGATTCTGATCCAAGGACGTGGTAGTTTTTAAACAGAATGTGAAATGTACAGAAGCCTGGTTTGTAAAATCTCAGTCTCAGCAAGAAGGAAAGGAAATGAGCATAAGCAGCACATTGTTTCTCTGTGGTCTTGAATGGACTTCATTTGTGGGGGTTTAAGTTTCCCAAGGGAAAATATGTGCTGTTTCTATAACAGTGTCCTGCTACTAATCCCTGCTTACAAGACATCTGTGTTGTACTGTTTGTGTATATAGCATATATTTATATGCTTCTATTGCCTTTTTTTTTTTTCCCTAAGCTATGGTAGGAATTTTAGCACTTTTTCAGTAAGGAACCATTTAATATATGATTTTCCAACAATTCTGCTTCCTCCTTTGTTTTTTTTTTTTTCCCCTAAGCTATGGTAGGAATTTTAACACTTTTTCAGTAAGGAACAATTTAATATATGATTTTCCAACAATACTGCTACCTCCTTTGTTGTCTGTTGTACCTGTGTTTAAACTGGAAAAACAAAGCACTACACTGTCCAGTTTTCAACATGCATTTTCGTAAATAAATTAACTTTATTGCCTTTTTTTTTTTTCCCTAAGCTATGGTAGGAATTTTAGCACTTTTTCAGTAAGGAACCATTTAATATATGATTTTCCAACAATTCTGCTTCCTCCTTTGTTGTCTGTTGTACCTGTGTTTAAACTGGAAAAAAAAAAGCACTACACTGTCCAATTTTCAACATGTGTTTTCGTAAATAAATTAACTCCATGGTCTCAGCCACGTCTTCTCAGGAGCACGTTCGCTTTGAAGAACTACTCATAGCTGAAACAGACCAGAGTGTGCAAACTGATGCAAAGAGGCAGGCCTGTAACAGGTGATGTAAGAATCCTTGCAAGGTGAGGAGGTGAAAGTTTGCAGTGACTCGTCTTCTGAAGTGCTGACAGCTGGTTTTCCTGTTTGCCTGAATCATCTGTAATAAATGGTTTTACTTCTTATCTCAGTTGTGACCTTTATGCCACTTCCTTCATGAGCCAGCGTATTTTCCATCAGGTAAGGGAGGTCAATACAGCCTCACTCCACAGCTTGGAAGCATCAATCACAGATCAAGTATTACAGTATTCACAGGAGTATTAAAATAAACAGTCTCTGCTCAAAGAGTTCCCAATCCCAGATGAATGGAATGTACTCAGGCAGCCAAGCAGAATTACAGGCAAAGAAAGAAGAGCAGAGGAAGCCTCACATGGACATCATCCATTTCACACATAATGTCAGGTGTACTGGGAGGAGCTACTGCTGTTGCTGTGCTGGGTAAGTGTCTGAGTGGGAATTTTTCCGTTTTGTACTCATAGGAAAGAGGACTTTTTGTACTGGAATGGAGGTCCACAGAGAGCTCTTCACTAGGGGTTTAAATACTGTCAGCATGAAGGGAGAGGAAGGCATTGCAAGTGCAGTTTTGAGTGAGCTGAAAGAATCAGTGTCAGTGCCAAATACAACAAGGCCAATATACCATTAGATGTGGGCAGCAAATAGTGCTATACACCTGATGCTATAATTTGACTGAGATTTGTGTGTTCCACTTGCTGATTCTTCTGACTTCCCCTTCCCTAAAATTATCCTTGACTTTTAAAATTGCCTGAGTTCAACAGTCTGTTCCATTTCATATTACAAAAAATCACATAGGAAACTCACTTGACATCCACATCTCCAATGTTAAAAGAAGTAACTTTAGCTTAAACAACAAGGCTCCTTTCAAGCAATGTTGATTTCTTTTTTGTGATGCAGGAGTCAGAACGCTCATTTATCTTCTCACACCAAGACTGCTTGTCAGTATTTTGGCACAAGGAAATGACTTAATTCCTGAAATGGAGCCATTTCACTTTCTTATCTTTAAAAATATTATTAAGAACAAAGCAAGCTGGCAACAGCCATCTTCCTTTCACAACAAGTTATGAGGTAGATGCAGAACATTATGAAAACACTGACTTGTCACATTGCTTTGACATGCCAAGCATATTTAAATCTTACCAACTAAGGCCTAATCTCCTGGCAAACAGTTTCTGCTTAGTCAATATTACTACTTCCATCTATTTTGAGGTCCTTAAAATATTTATAATTTGTGCCCAGTAGCAGAAAGAAAAATAATGGATATAGCTTTATCAATGCAGGCATTTCAAAGCCATTTAAAAACTTTTTGTCTATTGATCTGTGGCTCAATAGTTGAGTGGCGCCCTCAATTCTCACATTTTCCCACTGATGTAGTACCAAAATGAAATTAAAATTCAGCCTTTGTGTTAGAATAAACAAGGTATTCAAAGCAAAATTGTGCATAATACATGAATAGGAAGTGAGCACTGTTGTTCTTCTTGACTGGTTGCCAAGCCAGATGCAGATGAAAAGTAACTAAATGATTGAGGCTTCTTTCAACACCAACAGAATTCAGTGGTTCAACCCACTCCGCAAATCTAGAGAATATTCTTACTGATCCTTTACTACATCCTAATTCAATGTGGTGCTCAAGGTTGCAGGGATCTGTAGGGATGTGAGTAATCCCTTCAACTTCAGAATGCTTAAGGATGTTGCTGAAGCCTGGATTCACAATATTTCACATTAAATATACACTTGTATAATGCTTGTGTCAGTACAACATTTAAGTCTATGTCTAACTCTCAGTTGATGCATAAATCTCTTTGAAATTATCTGTGAATTAAGCACTAGGAAATCAGCTAAGAGTTAACAGCTGAGCTGAACAATAGTACTAATCACTCAGCATCAGCTAATTTAACGAAGAGGAATATTGCCATATTTGCCTTGTGTTCAGTTTTCAGTTTGCCTTTGGGCATATTCCTCTTCTGTAAAACGTTGTTCTTAGAAACAAGTTTGTCTGTGCAGACTGAAACTAAAGCTAGGTTTCCTGCAGATTTCTATCTCCAAGGTAATTTAGTTTCTCAGAAAGAGCAAGCTCTGAAGATTACCCTGTGAGGAGGGTATTTCTACGCACTTTTCCCCAAACACTTTTCTTCTGAGCTTAGCACAAGTTATGCTCATGGCATAGCTATCTCTCCTGGCAGGAGATCTCTTACATCTTCCCCTACCTGATGCCATTTCACATAACTTCAGTGTCTTAGTGTATTTAAGATGTTTGCCTCCGACTGAAATCACCAAGTGGTTCAAGATCAAAGAGTGGGATGAGTTCACAGGTGCTGTATAAGGCTGGAAGAATTGAAGTGAAATATTGTTGTTTTCAGAAAAGAGGATTTGTTCACACTTTTATATCTGTATAGGTCAGTTTACCCAGCTCTACCAAATGAAGACCTTCTTAAGTTAACTCTCAAAATGTAAAAGCAGTGGACATGAGTCATATATCAAATTATTTGAGTAGTAGTGGATAAGAAATATAATTTATGGGCCAAAGTGTTACTACTTTGTAATAGTAAGAACTGCCCTTTTTTGACCAATTCCAAAACCAATCAAGCAATACATTAAAAAAGTCGAAATTTGAATGAAAATAAATTAATTTAAGAGAACGAGTGAAAAAAACCCAATTTTGCTTCTCATTATTTTCCATTCACCTTTAAATACTATTTACAGAGGAATGTATTTAAATTCCTTTTATTGATGAGAAGTAGGTAGTTTATTTAGATCTTTTTCTCCAACATTACCATCTGGAAATTTGCAACTTGAAATGTCATGACCTTTAGCTCAGTGTGCTTCCATTCCACCATTTAGGAGAAATCAGTAATTTAGGAATAGTGTTACATTTTGTCCATTGTTAGGGGTAGAAATATATGTAGGCACTTCACTGCATGCCAGATTTTAAGCTATAGTCTGACAGTCTTGTTTGGAAATATGTGCTCTCAGATATGTATTGCTGTGGCTGTAGTGAAGAGAGAAAATAGAAAGAACATCACCTAACTTCTATGGTAGCTTGCATATAAACAGGAAAACAAGAGATTTTCTGTAAACATATGTAGCTGTACAGCCCATATTATGGTATAAATACTAAATCCTAAGGGATGACTTGAGAATGACATTAAAAGCACAAGGAGGTAATTTTAAAAGTGATATAAAGATATTTGTATCATTACCTTCCTCAGTTGCTCCCAGAAAGTTGACAGCCTTGGTCCTCACCACTGCACTGAGAACCTGCTACGAGAGGGCAACACAAGCACATAGGTGGAAATGGAGTGTGCTAAAGCAAAGAGTGCTGCTTTATTTCTGTGCTGCTTCTGCCCAGAGAGAGCATGACTGTGAGACTAAAACCAGCTGGGCTCAATCACTGACTTCTAGAGAGACTTTGAATTAGATGACTGAAGGCAGAGACTACCAACTAATTTTCCAGTTAAATGCACTAAATGAGTGCATCTAACTGTGCAGCTACAAGAGCTAAACATGAATAAGTTTTGTACTTCTTTTCTTCTCTTTTTTTTTCTCTTACACCAAAACCAGTAGGGTACTGGGTACTGACTGCTTTAATGCACCGTGCCTTCGATAATTTTCTTCATTGTTCTATGTGACTTGAAGG